TCGAGATGTTTGAATTCCTCAAGATAGTTTAACAGAAATTAGGAAAATCTGATTGTTTCTTTGTCTGTACAAATATTAGTATAGATAGATTGACATAAATAAAAGGCAAGCATTACTGTATCTGTAATTCTTTGATTTGTTAGTGTCAATTGCTCTATGATATTTGAGTAAATGACAAAAATATCAAGAAAATCAAATTAGCAATAGTCTTCAAAAGATAAAATTATCTGATTACAATGACTCAGTATTACTTTTGTTAATCATTGCTATGAACACTGCACCTCTACCTGTGCTTATTAGTACTTCAAGAAAAAAAAAAAAAACATTTTCAAGGGGGATAGGGACTAAATTCGAAGAAACTTATTTAACTCTACGCATTTATGAGTTCTGACAATTTGTCAACTCTATTTATGCTGAGAGTACACAATGCTAATATTTGTCATGACATGTACAGAAGAAAAGTGCTTAGTGCTACATTTTCCATATAATTTTAATATCATTTTTCAAAAGGGAAAAATTTGCAAGTTAAATGTCTAGAAGTGTAATCTCAATTCCTTTAAAAGACATATTAATTTTCCAAAATTGGATTTGTTTAATTAATTATGTCCAATGGGATCAGGGCAGAGAAAACATTTTTTAAACATAAATGCAAGCACAAATGTGTTGGAAACAGTGGAAAATCCATACTGAAAAGCATTTCTCATGTGACTAGCAATTTAACAATTTTAGATTTTTGTTTATGTCTGATTAAGATTCTTTGGCAAATTTAAATAATTTAACATTCAAGACACAAAATAATGCTAATAAATGGACATGTAATCAATTGCTAGTACATTCTGGATTTCGTCAGATTATAATGTTAGTGGTGATGAAAGTAAATGTTACTTGATTTTAATTAGAAATATCTTCTAGATGTTGGTAAGTAATACTTTGAAAGGTAAGTGCACTTAAAGGCAGAATTTTGTAGGAAGGTTATTTTCAGTTTAGTTATAGATTTACATATCTGCTTTCAGATAAACAAAACTCAGCTGAAACCCTCATCTATGCCTGCAATAAATAATAGGTCATCCACCAGTTCTAAGTCTCCTCCACACAGTACTCACTGGAGTACTTTAGAATGTATTCCTGAAAGATCTAGGTAAGAGAAAGATGTATGCACCTTAAACTCCAGTTGTAGAATGTATAATTGTATAACTACAAATAAACACAGAGGCTTGTAATTGAAAATTACAAGAGTGAGATATTGGGGTAGGGAGAACTAAATTCACATCAGTAGAACACAATCCAGTATGTAGAATATGTACTGTAGAATATTAAGGCAATGGAGTAACAAACCAATGTCAAAATGAAAAACAACAATACATGACACAAATCTATAGCTATAAATATTAATATAAATAAATACAACAGATTTTGGATGAAGAAAACAAGCTTAAAATCGACTTTAAAATTAAGATGTCATGTAATTAAATTATAAAAATTCACATAGTATATATGAATTAGAAAAAAATATTAAAATAAACCCATTAAAATCTGTCTGTATGCATTAAAATATAAAGATATGCATGAAAAAGCAGAGAAATGAGTGCAATGGTCAGCTCCTGGTAGGCAGACAAATTTATTCAGGAAAGAGACATATAGGACTTCAAATATATTTCTAATACATGAATTCTTATGTTGGGTGGTAGTTACATCAGGTTTTTTTCAATGTATTTTGATTGTCTAAGTGATTTCATAGAGTCACCTTCCCTTATACAAGTTTTATCTGCCAGTTCACGCTTTCTGTTGTGTCACTTATTTTTCTGTAAGAATGAAACTTTGGAAACCAGAGTTAACAGAGATATTCCTTTCCAAAGCATTTTGCCTCAAGCAGAATTCCCAAAGTGCCAGTCCTGATACAGCTTGTAGAGTGATTTCCTTTAGAAATCAGGCCAACTTCCATCTCCATCTTCCTTAGTTATTGATGAGGAGAATGTGGCCAACAGAGCTTTCACAGAATGGAAACAGATCTCAGGTACTAGCTGGCCCTTAAAAACTGGCAGTCTGCCCTCCCTGAAATAGACACTAGAGTCTCAGCTTATTAGACCCTCTTCCCAACTCATCTTCATTCAAGTAATTTAGAAACAAAAATTGTCACTCAAAGACTGTGACATTGGAAACCACTGACCTGAAAGATCCTTACCAGGAAATTTGATTGAGGTCACAGTAGACTCCTTGCCTCAATAACTGTTCCTGTCGATTCTACTAACAGTGTCTCCCACTATTACATAACATGCATCTGAAAATTGTTTCTATTGTTAACTCATAGCAAATATGCTTATTAAATACATGTTGACTACACAAGAACCTATGGAGAAGAAGCTTGTCTACCTTGAGAATGTCAGCTGCCTCAACTTGATGTAGTCACTAGGTGCTCTCTTCTTGGGTGAGCATCCACTATAGAAACAGTCATGTGAAGATATCAGAAAGGATAAACTTTATTATAACATCATCCATCATTGTATATTTCTGAAATCATTCGTTCAAGCCCATTTTCAATGTATTGGGTGTTAGTTTCATAATAATGATGCAGTTTTATGTATTATAGTGTATTTTCATTTTGGATTTCATCTTTAAAAACTACATCATAAGTGGAGTATGATAGAAACTTATGATTAGGTTATTGCTATAAATAGTTTGACAGATAAAAATACTTTATGCCAAAACTGTTGTATGAAACTCTGCTATAGGACATTAACTCTGCTATCGCAGAATTGTTGTGGTAATAGCCCACTGTATTCTTTATGGTGTCACTACACAAAGGCACAAAGCAGTTTTCAGTAATAATAATAATAATAATAAAAATAATGTTCATTTACTTTGACTTTAAGGTAGCAGTTCCATCAAGCAAAACAAACTATTATCAAAGATTCATTTCCTATTTTGTGTTCTGTTATAAATATTTGAAAATGAGGTGAGGATGAAGTATGCAAATAACCATATTTTATATGGAGATATCTTTAGAAAGATAGAATCTCTTTTGCTCCCTGAATCAACCAAGTTATAAGTGAGAATCAATTTTAAATTCCTTTTCAGCATAGTATTGCTTTCTCAAGATAATTAAAATTCTTGGCTATTTTATATACAATATTATACTTCCTTAAATTTAACAGGGCAGAAAGAAAGTTTAATATGTTGTCTAGGAAAGTCTTTCAACTGCATAGCTGTTCAAAAGAGAAATCCAGTTTCATATTCTAACAGCATGTGTTGAAAAACATAGCAATGATTTCTTAAAAACTCTTCCTGGAATGACTACAGGAACCCAAACTCTGTTCTGAAAAGGCTATAGTACTTGTTCCTTGACATTTTCAAAGTTCATGTGATCCTGAGGAGTGATGAAAGGTTATCTCCAGAGCATATTGCTGATGACAGTTTCCCTAGTTTGCTATAGTTCATAGGTAACAAAGAATGTATTGTTTTTAAGAATTTGTATTTCCTTTTCCACTTTAGCCTTCAATTCACCATCTAAGACATTATTTGTTCCCTAAGTTGATAGAGTCCTATGTACTCCAGGATACTATATTACTGACAGTGACATAATCATAAAATTCTAGACTTAAAAAGTCATTTTATTTCTATAATTTCCTTTGATTTTGTTTAATCTGAATGGTATATTATTCCTTTATCATAAGTGAAAACAATAGAACCCAATAATTATCTTGTAATCTATTACCAAGTTCCATTTGTATAAGGGCTATATACCATAAAACTCAGAACATCTCACACTTGAAATGCTTGCAGGATGAACATGTATTTTTAATTTTAATCTAAAATTTACTTTCATTTACTATAAGCTCATTTAAAAAAATTCAGACAGTAAATGTAGGCAAAGTGTATTTTCTATTTTATGTCTTAAATTAAACAACTGTAACTATAAATGTAGACATAAATAGAATTTCTAAAACCTCTTCTGCACCCCAAGTAGTCATGTAATCCCTATTTTAGAGACCACCGATCGAAAGTCTAATATGCAAACATTAACTGGCTATTGCCTAGTCCATACCAAGTTCTTATGCTCTCATTGATTATAAGTTAATACATATCAGTTCTCCTCTTCCCCTTTCTCTCTCCTTTCTACTCTCTGTCTCTTCAATTCTCAAGATCTGGAAATAATGATGTCAAAATGGAACCATGTTGGGTGGCAGACAGAGTTCATACTTCAAACTCTTTCTTTTTTATGCTTTCATGTGTGAATTTTCCAGAGAAAGGGACTTTCTCTGTAATCCATAGAAATCTCATGGCAATATTTCATTATGTAGCAAAATCAAAAGGATAGTTTTCCAAAATTTCCACATTCAGATACCTGCTGATGTTTTGTGCCCATTCTTACTCTCTTTTCTCTTACCTTTCCCTTTGTTCTGTATAGCATGGTTTTTTATTATTCCTCACTTTACAGATGATTTGACTGGGGCATGGTGAACTAAATTGGCTTATATGTGAGGACCTGTGATGGACCATGGGCATAAAGTTGGATAAGGTGTAGTTTCTTCCATTAAGGAGCTCAAAGTCTATTCTGTGATATTGGTGTCTGTACATAAGTTGTACTACAGTAAAATTAGTATGAGTAGAAGTTTGTAAAGCACAGTGACTAACAGTAAGAACTTTTGAGCCCAGTCTGTGTGGGTTAAACCCAGATCTAACATAAAGTAGCTGGGTATCCTTGACCTGGATACTTATCTTTTTTTGCTTCAATTACTTTGCCTATAAAGAGAAGTAATTTCACTAATTATGTAAATGTATGTGACAATTAATTGGGTTGGAGCTGATAAACAATCAACACCAGCTTCTAACGTATATGTAGCATTTAGAAAATAAAAGTTATTGTTATAAAATATTATGGGAATATGAACAGTCACAAGGGAGAATACAAACTAATTGCAGAAGGCAACTTAGTGGAGCAAAAGAGATATAGTCTAGCTAGTCTATTGCTTATTAAACTTTCACATATTGTCTATTTTTACCTTGTTTGATTTTGCTTTTATGAACTGGATGTACCATCATACTGGATGATTTGTCAGGTCCTCCTGAAATACAAAGTTACATAAAATAAATAGAGGTTTATGAAAGGCCAAGCAGTTGGATCAACTTCACTAATGTCAGACTACTTTCACAATATTTCAAAATAATGGACTACTTTCCCCTTTGGTTTACATAACTTGAGCCTTAAAGGTTATAAGCAAGTTTTTTTACAAATCATCATTTTTAAATAATTATCTGAAACAATGTTTTAAGAATGTTTAGCAACTTCATCTAATAGGACCAGGATATAAGTATACAGTACTTTCTATCATTTAAATGCACATGAGTTGATTTGATGAGTGTTTGGGTTGGGAGTGGTAGTGATAGGAGGTAAGATGAAATGAGCTTGGGAAAACCCAAAAGTCAAAATAAGGAAGGCAAAAGAGAAAGGCTGTAAACAACAAAAGCCCTAGAGGTTTTACACATTTGGAACACTTAAGAGACAGCTTCCTAAGCTTGGTCGTGAGTTTTATCATGACTTTATCCTTACTTGCTGCTTCCAGAAAAAGAAAATTATGTGAGAGTGTGAGAGTGATCAAAAGTCTTATAACAGGGATAGAGGCAAAAACTAGAGAAACCGGAGTTATATGTCACATTGTAGACCATTTTATGTCCTCAAGCTGCTGTGATGTGAAACCTGGAATGAGCACAGATTGCCTGAGTACCTATATTGTGCTAAGTGTTGGTATACATAACATGTCCTTCTAAAGACGTTTGCAAACTAAGCCAGAAGAAAGCTACAAATGATGTTTCAGCAACAGAAAAGTAAAGAAGAGACTACTAAAGCATCACAACTCAAGCATAATTTTTTATAAGAATCAATTAAAAAGAAGATGCATATCTCTTGCTCCTGCAGATAAATGGTTAATGCACTGAAGTGTGATGTTTAATTACCACTTTTTATATCGTCCTTCATTATTTTAGCTTTCATAGCTACACATGTTACGCTGGTCATAAAATTATATAGTCCATTTTAAGGTGCAGCTACAATATTTTTCTGGCTGATCTCCTGATGCAGAGTATTTTGCCAGTGGTCAACGCTCCATGGGAATGTTTTCCTCCAATCGGTTACAAATTTATAGCCCTTAAACTTTACCAGTGTCATGTCATTAAACAGGGAAATCTATGTTCCTCTAATCAATTAAAACAGTTTCTAAGTTCCAGCCTACTCCATTTGATTACTCTACTTGACAAGATGAAGATAGTAATCTCAATTTTTAATGTTTAAACATACAAAATGTTCTGAACATTATACAGAATCCATCTATATCAGATCCTGTCAAAAAGAGAAAATACATGGATTTGCAGGAAAATACAAAAGTGGCTCACTTGTAGTGTACCCATGTTAACAGCATTAAAAAAATTATTGGTAAAATTCACAAGTATATATTGGGAAGATTTTCAATGCCAAAACGTTTTACATTTTTGTAGTTTTGCCTGTATAAAAAATACTATCTGACACATATTAAGTGCAGGGTATAAATTGCTAACAATACATAAGAAATTTTAGATTGTCTTAATATCCAAATATTTTTAAATACCAATTTATTATTTTAAAAATTATTAGACAACATCATTCTGATATCTCTCTGTCTCTTTCCTCTTATAGGAAGAAAATGTTATACTAATTAGATAAATTCTAACATTTTAGTATGCAAACATAAAAGAAAATAAAAGTAGTTTTTTCTTTTTCGAATTACATTTATGTATGATGAAAGTACTCTTTCACATGAGAAATATGTATATTTACATATATATTATATATACATGTGCTTATGCATTTATATATAGGACATAGGATAAACAAATCTGTCAAAATACAAAACAAAAAATATTGGTGTTTTTGAAATATTGTTTTCTGAAAACATGGCACATTTTCAACATCTACTTGATTATAGTACATGGAATGAAAAATTAACATTGGAATGGCGCAAAAGTAATTTCGGTTTTTGCCATTACTTTAAAAAATCTCAATTACTTTCATATCAACCTAATATAAATGTTGAAAAATTCTTGTATCACAGCTGTATGGCAATAGATAAAGAGAGGATATGAAAACATTGGTTTACTACTTTAAGCATAAAACAATGTGTACTAGTTGATTAATAATACTTTTTGAATGAACATATGGACATATAATAATTTTTATTCATTTATTTTATTTAATAAAGCTTTACTTAGAACCTACAGTTTAGTCTTTAAACATTCCCAGTGGTAAGCACTAAATAAGGATGTTTGTGATCCTGAGATAAAGTGTGTTCTCAATAAACTCCAAACCTAATGAAATATAAGTCCATTAACATATAATTAAAATGAAATGGTTTTATTACTATAATATTTAGAAGCAATGAGTAATTTCTTACCAACACTCTATTTGAAAAACCTAAGTGAAGACCTCAGGCTATAACTAGAACAAAGTATTTCCTGATTCTCTACTCTTTTAGAACATTTCACTGATAATATTTCCCATCTCTATTAGCCTAAAATATGGTAACAAAAGAAATTCAGTAATTATGTTTCCTTCCCAAATTTATTTTCTTACAACTTTTGTCTATTTTCCTTTCTTTGCAAGTTCACCTTTCTACTGACCCATGTCACTGTGCCATAAAAACTTTCCTTCTAAAAATCAAATTTTAAGTCTCATCTTTCCTCAATCTCTTTACAGAGTCCCATTCTATCTCTTCTCTTAAGTAAAATCTGACTTCTCATTTAGATGAACTACTCTCCAGTTTCCTGAATTTGTAGCTCACTATACCATCATATCTCTTGGAAGCTTGAGAGAGGTTTAGGCCTTCTCCTGTTGTATTTGTTCCATTACAACTTTATCAAAGTCTGCTAAAGATCCTTCTTTGACAATGTTAAGGCAACATGCTACTTAACAGAATTTTGAGATATTGATATCCTTGTTAACACAAGAACTGTTCCTCGGTACACCGAAGGGAGGATTTTCATTAGAAAGAAATTACACTTAATAGAGAGAAAGTAGTTAAAGTCTTGATACACATGGCAGAATAATAATAGTAATAATAACCTTCCTATATATTTAAGAGGACTGGAGATCAGACAAGATCCAGCACATTCAGGATGTAAAGGCCAGTTTTGAGGGACAGCATTAGTTCAGACCCTCTAAATCAAGGATGGGCACACAGATGCCTAAACAGCTAGCAAAGCAAGAGATTTTGCCTCCTGGGTTATTGTGCGGCCCCTTTCATCCATTTCAACAATAAAAGGTTTCCTGCTTCCTATAGAATTAGGAAAATTACTGAAAGAATATCAAGATTCCTATTGACAAAGCCTCCTGGATATAATGCTCCCAGCAGATAAGTTAAAAATGTTTATCAGCCACTTAGGACAAATTACTAAGACCACAAAAAACATTGCAGCACAGCAAAACTCTAAAATTTCTCAGCTTAAAAGGGTTTAACAAAATGCTTATGTTTTGTATAGTCAGTTGCTACAAGTCTGTAACTAAAATCAAGATTAGCATAGCTCTATGTATAGAAGTTATAGAGAAGCCAAAGTTTGTAACCTTGCCTTTGGCTTTTGGTTTTGGGCTTTTATATTGCTTAAAGAAGCATCCCATTACTGGGTATATACCTAAAGGATTGTAAATCATGATGCTATAAAGACACATGCACACGCATGTTTATTGTGGCACTATTCACAATAGCAAAGACTTGGAATCAACCCAAATGTCCATCAGTGACAGACTGGATTAAGAAAATGTGACACATATACACCATGGAGTACTATGTAGTCATAAAAAAGGATGAGTTCGTGTCCTTTGTAGGGACATGGATGCAGCTGGAAACCATCATTCTCAGCAAACTATTGCAAGAACAGAAAACCAAACACCACATGTTCTCACTCATAGGTGGGAATTGAGCAATGAGATCACTTGGATACAGGAAGGGGAACATCACACACCAGGGCCTATTGTGGGGAGCGGGGAGGGAGGAGGGAGAGCATTAGGAGATATACCTAATGTAAATGACGAGTTAATGGGTGCAGCACACCAACATGGCACATGCATACATATGTAATAAAACTGCACGTTGTGCACATGTACCCTAGAACTTAAAGTATAATTAAAAAAAAAAAAAAAAGAAGGTGAACTGTCAATGAATTCCTATATGCCTCTATTCTCATCAGTCCTAGAACATTTAAATTGGCTATAGGTCTTTTGAGTCTAAGTCCCTTGACCATAGGGGTCCCACTGAGGGACAGGATGGACCTGGGGCAGGTAGACATGCTACCCTGGTAATACTATGAACAGAATAGAAGTTTGGTGGCCATTGATGTTGCCTCTGGCAAATATTGGCAAGAAGGGGCTGAATGTAAACCAAAAATAAATTTCTAAGCTCCCCAAAACAACTGAATAGACTCCTCTTCTTGGCCAAGGGCATTCCAAAGTCAGGCTGAAAATTGAACTCAGGCCAGGATGGGAAGGCAGGGTCAGACAAACCTCCCTGTGCCTTCCTCCCATTGGAATTCAGACACAACTGACAAACGTTAACATTGAAACAGAGATCTTAAGCCTGAAAAAACAGACTTTTGTAGCAAAAGACACCAAATCCCAGCCTAATTCTAATATAGTATCATATGACAGATAGCAGGCCCTGAAGGAAATCAAAGTATTTTTATCCCAATGTGTATTTCTTTGACATATTTTAAAATGACTCTGCAATGAAGCTGCCTCTTGTGGGGAAAATCTACATTCTGCCACCTATGTCCTGCTACCTGGAGGCTTCATCTGCATGATAAAAACTTGGTCTCCACAACCCTTGTCTTAACCCAGATATTCCTTTCTATTGATTGCAGATCTTTAGATAACTCTTTCAACGAATTACCAGTCAGACAATCTTTAAATTCACCTATGGCCTGGAACCCCCTACTTCAAATAGTACCATATTTCCCACCTGAACCAGTATACATCATATATGTATTGATTGATGTCTTATGTCTCTGTACAACATATGAAATCAAGCTGTAACCTGACCAGCGT